CTTTGTGATTGTTATTGGTGTTTTTAATTGATTGTCAGCCACCCTGAGTCCGCAAGGAGAAGGGCGGGATATAAATTCGAATAATAAATAAATAAATAAATAAATAAATAATCTACCAGGGATGGTTCCTTGGGAGCGCTCTTCCTCCAGCGTTTTCGTACTGGCAGGAATGGGGGGGGAACGTGGTCCCAACCAAGACATCGCCGCTTGGCTTACCCCCTTAGTGACTCAGCTCTTCGAGTTTGGCAGCACATCCCACCTTCGTCACCATTGTTACGTTTGGTGTTCTGTGAGGCATCGACGAGGCAGCAGGTGAACAAACAACTCTTTATTAAAGGTTTAAACAGAAGCCTGAATAACTGCAGCTCCACCCCTATTTATACACTCAACCACTAGGTGGCAGCCAACAGGATTTAAGTATTAGTTCCTGCTTTAACACAAGATAATTATCACGTAGACAGCAAGTCTGGCTCTTAATTGACAGAGTTTTATGACCGTTTTTTCAACAATTCCAAGTAATTCACCTCAATACATTACAGTTACTATTTAGTATAATTAAAAATTGATACTATAACTTTATTATGTATCTTACTGCATAGGAAAAAGTCAGAAGGCATGGTTTCTTTTGTAAAAGACTTTCATTTTTCAAAAGTTAAAGAGGTTGTAGGATGACAGATGTTGGATACTGATTTACCGAGAAACAATGCCAAAAACCTTACTAAAGTTTTTGTCTCCACTATTTTATACTCTTTGTACAGCAGAGTATTCCAGGTTTTTCACCTTAGCTCAGGGGTGTCAAACTCAATTTCATTGAGGGCCGCATCAGCATTGTGGTTGCCATTGGGGGGCTGGGTGGGTGTGGCCGGCATGGGCATGGCCTACTGGGTGGGGCGTGGCCAGCTCGACGTCACTCACGTCAGGGGCACCTGTGCGGGCCTGGGCAGGACTGGGGCAGATCCGAGGGTCTCCGGCAGAAGATGGGGTGGGACCGGGGCGAGCACCGGGGCATGGTCCACTGGAGGAGCTCACTGAGCCTCAGGCTGTGCACAGGGCCCCTGGACGTGGCACAGACTGCCCAGAGCCCTCAGCAGTGGAGGTCAAGCGCCCAGCCCAGCCCTTGAGCTCCCACGGCACCAGGACCCTAGAGCCCTGCCTAGCCTAGCCGCACTTTCCCAAGGAGGTGTCCACCTGCGCTTACCTCCTCCTCAAGGCTGCTGCTGTGCTCCCTCTCCTTGGCCAGGTTGCTCATGGTGGGTGCAGTAAGACAAAGTGCATGGGTTAAAGGGAAGCCCACTCCCTCTCCATGTGAGGAGACCTGGCTTTGTAACCAAAGCATCCTCAGCAATAGGATGGTAGACCACCAGAGGATGGCGAAAGGGCAACAGGGCTGCTGGTGGCCAAGTGCTAAGGTAGGACTTCCCTCAGTCCCTCCCTCTTATTCCAATCTCCTTCCTTCCTTCCTTCCCTTTCCTTTCCTTCCTTGCTTCTCTCCTTTCTTTCACTTTCTTTCTTTCTTTCTTTCCTTCCTTCCCTCCTTCTCTTTCTTTCCTTCCTTCCTCCCTCCCCTCCTTCCCTGCTTTTCATTCCCATCTCCTTTTCCTTCCCTTTCTTTCTTCCTGTTTCCTCCCCTCCTTCCTCCCCTCCCTCCTTCTCTTTGTGCCCAGGAAGGGACAAGGGGAGGGGGAGAGGTTGGCAGCTCTCAAAGAAAAAGAGTTGGAAGAGACCTTTGAGGTCCTTAGTCCAAGCCCCTGCTCAAGCAGGGGACCTATACCATTCCAGACAATGGAATATCCAATCTCTACTTAAAAGCCTCCAGTGATGGAGCATCCACAATTTCTGAAGGCAAGCCTTTTTACTGGTTAGTTGTTTTCACAAGTCCTTAGTTCTAGGCTGGTTTTCTTCTTGATTAGTTTCCATCTATTATTGTCTTCTGATGCTTTGGGAAATAGGTTGACCCCTTCTTCTCTGTGGCAGCCCATCAAATATTGGAACACTGCTAATGTCACCACCCCTAATCCTTTTCACTAAGCTAGACATACCCACAAACATTTGTCATATGTTTTAGCCTCCAGCCCCCTAATCATCTATGTTTACCATCCAAATGGTCCCCCTGGTTTGGTTTATAGAACAGTGGCCATGAGCAGAGCCTTCTCAGAGACAGCACCCCAATTATAGAACTTTCTCCCAAGGAAAATATGAACAGTGCATCCCTCACCATTTTAGAGGCAACTCCAAACACACTGTTCAGCCAGGCATATGTAGAATAACATTTTATGGTCAAACAGCACTAAGTAAGTTACTACTACTATTTTTCTTTCTTAAAATACACACTTTTAATATTGTTTTAAGCAGTGCTAGTGATGCTTTACAATAGCTGTCTTTGAGAATTTTCTTGTAAACCACCCTGGATTTCTCAGAAACTTTTAATTTCAAATTAGATGTTGATTTAATAAATTAGGCAGAAGAAACAAATGTTTACATACATCTAAATCCCACAGACCTACTGCCTCCTAGGCACATACTACAGAGAAAATAAGGCATTGCATTTCTAGCCAGCATAGCCACAGGATGATGGGAACTGTGGTCCATAACACCCAAAAGATATTAGTTTGGGCAAGGCTGGATTAAATTATAAAAGAGCAGATGAGGGGAAGTAGGAGCAAGAAACACTTTCCACGTCTCTGACAAAATAATTGGGGGGGGGAGTTGACTCGCCTTTTAATTTAAACTCACACCAATTCCTCTTAACCTCCCATTCAATCCAAAGAGTTCTATTATTGCCTGGATTTTAGGGAGGGGAGGAGGCAAGAATAGACCACAAAGCCAATATGTGAGTTTGCTCTCTCGCGCCCACGCAGCACATGTATGTATGTGTGTGAGAGACAGAGAGAGAGAGATCCCCTTTTTTTGTAAGTTTGCTTACTCTGCAATGCTCCGCGTTCTCCACACTTTCGCTTCCCTGCTGGCTCAATAGCGCTCTCTCTCTCTCTCTCTCTCTCTCTCTCTCTCTCTCTCTCTCTCTCTCTCTCACACACACACACACACCCTTCCTGCTTTCTTGTCCTTTTCCTCCAGCTGCACCTGAACGGAGTGGGAGGAGGATAAAAAAAGAGGAGGGGGGGAGAAAGGTGGAAGCTCCCCTTTTTTGTAACACGGCTTCCTCCTCCTCCCCTCCTGGCTTTCTCTTTCTCTGTCTGTGTTTCTCTCTCACACACACACACACAGAAACCCTTCCTGCTTTCTCATCTTTTTCCTCCAGCTGCACCTGAATGGAGCGGGAGGAGGTTAAAAAAAGAGAAAAGGGGTGGAATAATGGGGGAAGCTCTCCTTCTTTGTAACACCTCAGCTTCCTCCTCCTCTTCCCCTCCTGGCTCCCTCTCTCTGTCTGTCTGTCTCTCTCTCTCTCATACACACACACACACACACACACCCTCCCTGCTTTCTCCTTCTTCTCACCCTTTCTCTCCAGCCACCACAGAGTTTCACGTTGCCAGCTGCAGGCAGTTCCAGGCTGCGGCTCTGCATGACTGTTGCGTTCCCCTCTCTGGCCCTACCATGTGGCAGAGAGGGCAACTGGGAGCCTGCTGATGCTCGGCTTGTGCCAGTGCGCACTCACATCTCCACACCTTTCCTCCCACAGGCTGGGCGTGCCCTGGGGTGCTGGGCTTACAGAACGCCATGGCCCAAGCGAGGAAAGGCGTGGCGCAGTGTGGCAAAGCAGAGCCACACGAGGAGAAGCCCGGCAAAGTGGGGCGTGGCTAGGCATGACGGGGTTAAGCTGGGAAGGGCGGGGCAGGCTGAGGCAAATGAGCTGCAGCTGCTGCTGCACACCACCAGCCCCTGAGCGCTCGCTGTTTCCTGTGCATGGGCCAGGGCGCCCAGTTGGGATGGGGTGGGCCAGGGCTGGGGCTGGGGCAGCGGGGGCCGGTCCCTTGCCATTTCTGGGACAGCCCCGGGGAGCCAAATCTGGGCCCTCCCCGGGCCGGATCCAGCCCGTGGGCCTTGTGTTTGACATGTCTGCCCTAGCTCCTTTCAATGCTTTGCCTCCAACTTTATTGGAATGGCAGTTATTCTCTTTGCAGAGAATTTTCATTCCTAGCCTTTGCAAACAGCTGAATTGCAGCTCATCTGGGCTAGGTTACTAACTTTATTATACATTATCCTTTCAGTAAAGTCTGTATGTCAGTTCTCTTGCTCATTTTAACAGTAAAGTTATTTGCCAAAGTCTGCTTTGAAGCCTAGGAGCAAATTTTAAACCTTGGCATTTTTACATTTAATTAATTTAATTTAATTTAATTTAATTTAATTTAATTTAATTTAATTTAATTTAATTTAATTTAATTTAACTTAATTTAATTAATTTAATTTAATTTAATTTAATTTAATTTTTTAATTTAATTAATTTTAATTTAATTAATTTAATTTAATTATTTAATTCAATTTTTTAATTTGTCACATTCATCCATGAGATGGATTACATAAAATTGTGTATAATGTATTAGTAAAATGTATTACTAACTATTACAAAAGGATATAATTTGGGAGTTGGGATGGCATTTTATTTTTCTAATTACCTTTGCTTTGCACTCATGGACTATAATAAACTCTCCCTCCCTCCCCCCTCCTTTTCATGGTGGTGCTGTGGCTGTCCAGCACTGGAGCCTCCACTGAGACTGCAGAGGGAGAGCCTCTTGCCTTCATGCAGGAAAGTGAGTCTTAGCCACCAACCAGGTTGTGTCCTCCTCCCTGAGGCCTGCCTCTATTGCCAAGAGGTCCCTATAAAGAGCTTCTGCCCTGATCCACCGTTCCTGCCAGTGGCCCATCTCTAGATTCTCACTAGGGTGGCAGGCAGGAAGCCGGCATTCCAGCAGTCCCCTTTCCGTTCACCGAATGGGATGGGCACTATGGCAATATTCCAAGCACAGAAAGAGCGCTCCTGGGAATATAAGCTGCCCAGCTGCCTCTGGGCTTTGGTTCTCCAAGCAGCAGAGAAGACAAACCTGGGCTGGCATTCTCTTCCCGCACAGAACTCATGGATGGGCTCTGGCCGTGTGGCTGCATCACAGAAAGGCTCCTCCACCTCCGTGCCGTCGTAGCGGATGCACATGGCATATGTGGACATCACTCCTGCATTCAGAAAGACCAAAGCAATCAGTCCTTTACTGCCACAGCTGTTTGCCTGCACAGATGTTATCCAGAAGCCCCCCCATCACTGCACCCTCTGAACTGCAGCTTCAATAAAAGTCAAGGCACCTTCTGTCTCCTTTTATCACCTGGCATGAATACACTCAGCCCCTCTAATCAAAGCAGTGGTGGAATCTGAGCTCATTCACCAAGACAAGATGGTGGGAAAGAGAGCATTAGTTTGTTCACACTGGGGGGGGGGGAAATCTTATATTGTTTTTCAAGACGGCCAGCGACTAAAGCATCAAGCTACAAACTGGGAGACCCACCTTGGGTCAGCCTCTCTCAGCCCCAGTGTCAGAATCCATTTATATTTCATTTCTATCTATCTCCTCTGATCTAAAACCAAATCTCACCTTCCCCTGGATTCTGCCATACTCCCAAGGGGGAGGGGGGATATGCCTGCGGGCTTATGGCTTTCACTTCCTCTATTCGCTACAATGTAACCTTTTGTTTATTGCCTGCTGGGTCTGCTGCCCATTACAATGTAACAAGTTGCCTCCCGCACTATGCATCTCTCGGAAGCTGTCAAAGTGAAAGCCTTAATAGACTCATTAGCCCGATGCTAGTGGGGAACTTGGGCATTCCGGTGAGGAGGCTGAAACAACATTTGGCCAGTTAGATGGGTCCTTAGCAGGGGGGGTGCCAGGTACCCTAGCCACTTTACCAGTCCACCTATCCCTGGGGAACCATGAGGAAGACATAACGTTTGTAGTGAATACCCAGTGATCCTAGGACTGGAATGGTTAAATAAATGGAACCCCTGGGTAAATTGGAGGATGGCAGAAATCAATTTCCCAAAGGGGGACCCTACGGACTTAAACCCCAAAGGAATCCTACCAAAGTTGAGAACAGAAAAGGCATCCATGGGAGAAGAAAAGGGGCTACCCAAAATACCAGAGGAATACCGAGACCTTGCTGAAGTTTTCACTCAGGAGAGGACGGATGAACTCCCCTCTCACCGACCCACGGATTGTGCCATAGAATTCAAGCCCGGGGCAAAACTCCCGAAGCCCAGACTATACTCTATGAGCCCTAAGGAGAACTTAGGCCTAGTAACTCCTAGTTACTAGGCCAGCATCTTCACCACTTCACCTGGTTTGCTTCCAGGTCTAATTTATAGTGTTGATTTTGACTTTTAAAGCCCTTTGTGGCATTGGGACCAGGTTGTCTGAGGGACTGCCTCTCCCCAATTACATCAGGCTTGGTAGAGAAGGCTTGCTGTGGGTCCCATCTGCCAGAGAATTCATGCTATCTGGGGTTCCCGGGGGGGGGGAGCCTTCTTTGCCAGAGTCTTGTCCTGCCAAAGTGTTCCCTCTCAACATTCCCTCTCAAGTCTCCCAAGGCCTGTCTATGTTATCCCACTGGGAGTGGTGACTGACTCAGGGGGACGGTACTCGTCTCTGATTCTCGCTGCCCAAGAGACATTTCCATCACTATATGGATCACATGAGTCCACCCCATTATGCAACACTCAGGTCTCAAACCCAGGCTGTGGCTTTCCAGCTGACAAGCCCAGCATCTTAACCACTGAGCTAGGCCGCTGCACAGATAAAGGTAGAGGAGGATGCCATTCCCTCATCCATGAAACCCGCCAAGTATCAAAGCCCCTTAGAAGCAAACAGCTTGCTTTGGTCCACATTGCTCCTGTCAACGCTGCTAACATTGGATGTTCTTGCTTTGACAAAATATGCAGAGCTGTGTGGTATTTTTAGAGTTAATTTAAATGATGCTGGGAGGAGAAAGAATGTGTGTGGGGATTACTTTAGATAAGAAGCCCTGCTACAGAAACGGAAGGGAACCTTTGCCCTTTAAACTGATTGGAGAATGTGATTTAGGACAGCAAATTAAGGGAAGGAAATATGCTAGCAAAATATGTGCTCAGGGGAGGGGAATTCAGATCTTGGCATTCCTCCATGCTGTGTCGACATTCTGTTATACAATTAAAGACTTTTTAGGATAAACAATGCCTGGAAGTTCTTTGAAGTGTTTCATTAGTCAGAACCTTGACAGCTCCAGCATAGGGAAGAGAGGAAGAGGGAGGGAGGGAGGGTATTTGAGACTCCAGCCTGGGCAAAAGCTGAGTTGTTTAAATCTTCCATGGCATGACATGGCGAATGCAAATAGATAGAAGCTGTGTCCTCTCTGGGCCTGCGGATGGCACAGAACAGAAGACCAGCATTAACTAACCCACATTCTATGGTGATGGCCACTAACTTGGAGGTTTAAAAGGGGGCTGGTAGAATTAAAGAAAGGGACATCTTCCACAAGCTGTTTGTCTGAAAGACTCCATTGGACTTCTGAGTTAAAGGCTGTTTGCCTTTAAATCGTGGTTGCAGGGAAAGTCAGAAAGAGGGGGGCTTGTTTCCTGCTCCTGAGGCATCTGGTAGTTCCCAGACAGCAGTCTGGGTCTTAGCCTGACTCAGGTGGGCTGTTCTTGAGGTTCTTAAGAACAGGAAACAAGAATTCTTCATTGAAAACAATTCTGAGGCTGGGTTTGTACTCTAAACAAATTTATTCACCATTTCTGATCTGTAGAATTATTCACAGACCTCAGTTCTGTCTGAAAACAATGTAAGATAAGGCAAGGCAAGGCAAGGCAAGGCAAGGCAAGGCAAAGGCAAAGGCAAAGGCAAAGGCAAAGGCAAAGGCAAAGGCAAAGGCAAAGGCAAGGCAAGGCAAGGCAGGATAAGGTAACCAGGAAAACAGGTCGTGAAGAGGATGTGTAGCATCCCAGACAATCCTGCAGACCCTGCTCAAGCATCACCATATAATGCCATGTCCTGGATAGAAGGGAGGGAACTGCCAATCATCTTTTCTGCCATCCTCACCACTCTCTGCACCGCCTTCCTGTCTGAAGCAGGGATGCTTCCAACCCAGACAGTAATGCAATATGATAGGATGCTCTCGATCGTCCCTCTATGGAAAGTGGTCAGGACAAGGGAAGGAAGATGTGCTTTTCTCATGCAGAAAATGCAGGCACTGCTGTGCCCGCTTCATCAGTGTCTCCCTGTTGAGTGACCAAGCTAGCTGCACAACAGAAACTTGAAGCTGCTAACCACCTTCACAGGTGAATCATTAATACACAGAGGTGTGTGGTTGGCCTGCCTTTTTTGAAATCGACAATGATTTCTTAAAACTAACATCTCTTAAGATAATTGATAAAAACTCACTCAAGCTGCTGCAACTTGAGAAAATATTGCCTCTAAGCATGACCCAAGTACTGTTCCTTGTACAGTGAATTATTTCAGATCAGGTGGCTGTGTTGGATCCATTTCCAGCATATAGACACCTTCTGGGCCACTGGCCTATATAATGTTACAGGTACAATGAAGATGCTTTGGCTTTTAATAGAAAAACGCAATTGTGTATGTGTACCTCCTTGGGCAATAGGGCCACAAGAACTTTTGCCTGCCTTTGTCCTGTCGCAAGCTCTACGCAGAAGTGGCTGCTTCCATGCTTGGAATCTGCCCTGGTGCATCTGCTCTCCTTGAAAGCCTGCGCAACTAAAGGCGAAGGATGAAATGAGGCCCCCCCCCTCATGATGGGGAAAGGCTAGCCTGACCTGCTTCCCTTCCCAAGCAGACTGGCCAAGGGCCCCCCGTGCGAGCCCTTCGGGGGCTGCTCACCTGTGGTGCAAGTGGAGCTGCAAGGTTCGTGGGAGGAGAGCTTCCACCGGTACATGTCGGCTGGGCTCACATTCTGGCCCTTCCGGAAGAGCTTCAGCCGGTTCCTAAAGAACAAGATGCCTCAATGAAGCAGAGAGCTTTCCTGGCACAGCCAATTTCAGAGAGAGAAAGGTTTGGGTCACAAAGTTTGAATTTGGGAAGATACTTTCACATTGTTGTGCTTTAAAAAATAGGGTTTTGGATCGTTTGGTTGTAATAAAACATACCTGTCCTGTTCCCCAAGCAGAATTCCCAGCCCGGTTATTGGCAGAGCTTCCACTGTCTAGAAATAGAGAGAATGGGATAAAAATACCCACAAGCAGAAACAGTTCCATTTATACAAACACATCCCTGTAAGCTGATTTGTCTAATATATGCCAAATACAGTTGATTTCATGCTGTGATGCCACTTCACATAATGATTCCTTTATGATCTATCCTAAAGACATGCTCACTCCCTTCCAGTTGGATGCATGTAATCCTCTTGGTCCAGACCAGCTCTATTATCATTAGAAATAATATCATTAGAAATAACAGAATAACAGAGTTGAAAGGGACCCTGGAGGTCTTCTATACGAACCCCATACACAAGCAGGAGATCTTAGATCATTTCAGATAAGTGGCTGTCCAGTCTCTTCTTGAAAACCTCCAGTGGTGGAGCACCCACAACTTCTGAAGTTCTGAATAGAGCAGAGGGAGGAATCCCTGTCTATACCCATAAAGTATATTGCTGAGAGCTGGAGGATGGTCTGTTTTAACCATTCAACCATTTCTGAGAAAGAACTTTAGCTGAGAAAAGTGCTCATCTTAGGAAGTAAATTCAATTCTGTCCAGTCCCTGAATAAAAATCGGTCATTACACCAAGTGGCTTCATGTCATGAAATGATTTGCCCGTCATGGGAAGTTCTGCTTAAAGGCTCCAGGAGAGATAGCTGGCCTTCAGTCAACTAGCCCTGATCCCTAACTATGGAGGAGGAGGAGGAGGAGGGGGGGAGAGGGAGGAGGAGGAGGCATGCATCAAAAGACAGCCCTGGTGCCTTCAGGGTGCACCTCCTTCCTCTTCCCTTTGTTTGAGGCCCTCTCACTTCACTGGTTTATACGCTAGATGTGGGAAGGGGTAAGCTTGTAGCGCCTTTACACCAGTGGCATTTTCCAGTGGAAGGTATGGTCCTCTCTCTTACTCCTTTGGGGAAGCTAGTCAATTGCTGGTTGGGATGCTGTAGCACTCTATCAGTCACTGTGCTTAACAGTGTTGATACAGGCACAACACTCTTACTTCACACAAGTGTAACTCCAGCTTGAACTTGTTGGTACTTTCTAGTGGAATGGACCAAATGCTCCTTGTGGAAGCCTGGTCCTCCCTCTTCTGAAAGTTCTGCTCCAAAGGGATGTGAACATCTGGTTGAAAGGCCAGTGTTGACCACACCCAAGATTTCAAAAGGACAGGAAGCAAACTGGAACAACCTGAAGAAACCCAGGCCTTCCTTGTGACTAGCAAAGCCATAATAAATATACATAAATGTATAAAACTTTGCAGGAGTAACATAAGGATATTAAGAAAATATGTACAATGTGCAGAAGAAGAGTGTGCATGTCTACCTGTATGTTTGTAGGTCTCTGCTTTCATACTTTGTTTTAAGAAAAATAATAATAGACAGCACGAATTGTGACACAATGAATACATTTTAGGGTAGTATAGATTTTCTGACTGTGTGTGTGTGCCAGATTGTCCATTCCTACACACACACACACACACACACACACACACACACACACACTGGGTGATGGGTGGTTCATCGACTGGAGTCCAAAGGTCCCTGTCCCAAGGCAAGAGGTCCTGCACCTTTTCCACAACTGATAATCACAGCTACTCGCAGAACAGCTTTGCTGCTTGAAAACAGGCCCAGGAGTGTGGAGAAGTCCTGTCTCTGAATTGCCAAATCACATTTCTTGACAGCAGAAGCTCTGGAATAATTCCTTCCTTTCAACAATGGGACTGAAGTGTTGTCCCCCCACCCTAGTCACTGCAAAAGTTGCAACTGTGTTTGATTTCTGTTTCAGTCTTCCTTTTCAGGCTTAAATAGCACTGTTGTAATCCCATGCATATCTGCCTTGGAATAAATCATATGGAAAACTGACATTTACGTTAGAGTAAACATGGCCACAATTATTCTGCATGAAGTTTTTCATATCTGGGTCAAAAACATTCCAGAAGAACCCCCAAAATAGTCAGACTATAAACTGCCTGAGCATAACCCTGACAAGCTCCACTTGATTAACTAAAAATGCAATCAGGATTATACAGTCAGTTTCTCCAATCTGCAAACCGATCAATGGCAAGAAAATCATTTTTTTGATATTGAAAGACCAGTGAAACGAACACATCCTTGCACAATGTAGAGAAACTCCTAGAAGGAACCCCCCCCCCTCTATTTTCATTCTTTATTCCCTGGAGCTAAAATCACTGGGAGAGATCATCTGCTAGGACAAGCTTAAGTCAGTATGCTGGAGGTAATCAGTTACACCCCTGGCCAACCAAGTGATGCTGTTGAGATTCTTTTAGTGCCTAGAGGAGGACCTAACCCTAGTAAGACCAAATGGCTTTGGTTTTAAGGCCCCATAGATCTGGAGTTCTTGATTCATTCTGTTCTGTCCCCCGTCCGACCCACACACCCCAACCAGTCAGCCGAGGCCTGAAAAACTGCTCGGCACAGCCAAAGACAAATGAATTTCTTGGCAGCAACTTCGTAGCTGCCTGCCAAGCCTTTACTGATAATGCACAGCAAACAGAGATAAATCCAAGATAACTTGCCAGAGTGCTTGCAACAGAATATCCAGCAAAAA